TTCGTTTGTGTCATTTAGAGCTTAAACTGAAAACATCGCGCCCAAAGGACTCGCCATGTATCGCAAATTTATAAATGACTATAGTGGGTACTTGTCACGCTAAGGGATATATCTGCAAGTACTAAACATGCCCCAAATACGTAATTGTTCTCTAATTCACTTCTGTTTTCTGTAGAGCCAACATATCAATGTATAGTTAAACCCCACTGCAGTTCTAACTTTACTAGCATGAAGCAAAGAATATTTTCACACAAAAAACCTATTATAAGTACACTAGACTATTTATTTTAACAGGACACTGAAAAATCATAATCATGCAAACTAAATATAAAGATAATTTCGATTTTAATGGAGAGACGTATTCCACTAGTTTGAAGGAAAGCAACATCATATAAAAATATATTAAAACCAAATTTCTGTTCTTAGCTATATATTGCTTATTATTCAAATAACGCATTGAAAAGTCCTATTCATTTAAACAGTATTAAAAAATCATAATCACGCAAACTAAATATATACAGAATTTCGATTTCAATGGAGTCTTATTCATTAGTATAAAAGGAAGCAACACAAAAAAATGTATTAAAACCAAATTTTTATTTATAGTCGCATATTGCTATTTATTTAAATAACGAATTAAAAATGTCCTAATAACTCAAAATGAATGTAGTGACTATTATTATATGCTGTTTGAACTTTATTGCTTGTCACAAATTTTTCATGAAATGATGATCGTTTTTTTACATTACATAATTATTAGTTGACACCATAATTTTACTAATTGCCATATAAATTATTTATTCATACATTATGTGTATGAATTTTCTGCGCTAATTATACTTTGTAATTATTAACTTCCCGTAGGGTAAGTTATAGTAATCGCAAAAAAATCGAAAATGAAAATTTTTATATATCTTTACGTTTCAGAGGTTTCTGAACATTTTGGCATACCTTAGAAAAAATGGATGTATGTGTGTGTGTGTGTGTGTATGTACGTGTGTGTATGTATGTGCGGATACAAATTTTCGTCGACGATTTCGGGAACACGGATCAACCGATTTGAATAATTCAAAAAACATTCGATTCGTATTGATAAGGAGACGTGCTGATTAGTTTTTGGCGAAGGCAGGTCTAGCCGTTCCGAAGATACGGGGCAAAAAGTGCCGAAAACGGTAACTCAGTTTTAAAGAGAACGGAGCGTCCGATTTGAATAATTCAAAAAACATTTTACTTGTATTGACAAGATGAAGAATCGATAAAATTTTCATGAAGGTAGGTCTAGCCGTTTCGGAGATATGGAGGAAAAAGTAAAAAAAATGAGCCATTTGGCGGTCAAAAATGATCATTAGACATATGCACATCAAATTATCAGATATCTTATAGAGATTTTAACAATAAGTATAATTTTTTTTTACATTTCTATGGGTTCCGTACCAATGCTTATGCGTTAGACGGCGGCGCGGCACTTGCGCGCTTCGATATTTCGTCTCTATGCAGTTCAAGCAGTGCAATTGCTTTGAAAAAAAGTTCAGAATTTCCAAAATATGTCAAAATGAAGAAAACATTTTTTTTCAAAAAATTTTTTCGTTTTCAAAAAAAAATTTTTCTTCTCAAAAAAAAATTTTTTTTTTTCAAAAAAAAGTAATTTTTTATCATATTTATAGTTTCTCAAAAATCTATTTTTTTCGAAGTAAATTTTTTTCAAAAATGTTAATCGTTTTTAAAAAAAAAAAAATTTTTGGTACGGGAAGTTCCAGCAATTTGCCTTAAGGCACGATGCCCTAATTGCCTTAAGACAGAATTCCACTTACAGCTAGTTATTATAAATATTTCATGAAGAATGTAATCGCATTTACTGATTTTTTAATCTATACTGATTGTTCACATAATTGTTTTGTTTATTTTTATAATAGTTTGAATTTGTTATATATTTAATAATATATAATAAACATTAAATCATTATAATTTATTAATGTGTAACTATTATTTTTTAAAATAGAAGGACGTTTTGCATGATATTCTTGGGCTACACATGTTAAAAACAAGTTGAAAAAAAATTAATTACTATTTCATAAACAATTATGTATTACATATGTTCCACTTTAAACTTTTAGCCTTTTTGAACATTATTTAGAGACACACGTTAATTTTATTAAAACTTTGACATCAAATATTGTAAAAAACTAAAAAATATTCAGTCTGACTATTAAATTGTTTAAGTTACTATACATTTGCACTTTTTTAGCCTTTATCAATTTTCTGAATAATATATAAGTCCCTTGAATTCCTTTATTTCACTAGGGCCCCTGGAGAAACTTCATAACATTAAGTTTTCTTCAATTAATTTTAAATACAAAATTTATATTTATTTAAGATATATTGATTTGTATTGCTAGGGGAAAGAAATATAAGTCAAACTTGGCTGATGAAAATTTCTGGCTAAAAAAAACATATTTTTTTAAACAAAATTAACAAGAAATTTTTGTGAAATCTTTTTTTTGTACTGGTTTGTCACCTTTTCTCTTTCGCATTTTGCCTAGGTCAAGTAAAATTTTTTTTATATTTAATCTTGACCTGAAAAGGACAATAGATGCATGTCACAACCATACCCAGAAAATTTGTCACAATCGTACCCTACGCACACTGTTGGAAACGAATCATCGTTATGACTGAGTTTAATTATCTACGCAATAACTATTTTTTAGTAATTAACTACTAATATTAAACTTTAAGCAAAATAACAATCAAAGTGATCTATCTGTGTACAATTAACAGGTATAATTAAAAGAAATCGAACAAAGAGACCTACTTTTGACTCTTCAAAAGCAATGGCGTGTACAGATGTTGATGCAAGGCACTACCTTTTGGAAACTTGTTCAAACAAACGTACTAAATTTTTCTTTCTTTGGTTGGACCCTATGTCAAAATCTGTATATTCTGCAATTCTGTATATCTGTGAAACCTAATGATACTGGCTTTCTCATCCTTCATCCTCTTTACCTCTCATTCATTTTTTTATAATTTACCTAAAAAATATTCTAAAAAAAACTTAAAAAATATTATATCTATCTTAGTTATTGATGTATATTTTCGTACTGATTTATCCTTTATCAATTCTCCGAATAAGGAGTGATTTCTTCGAAAATTCGACGTTTGAGTGAGCCGCCTCCGTCGTATGGTAATTTGTAAATCCATGCGAACATGCAAAGACATGAATTATGGTAATGATGCGTCTCTTGTCAATGCGCTAACACAACGCGACTTGTCATATTTGGTTAGAATTAATGAGGACAAAAATGTTGAACGTGATTTTCATATTTTCAAGGCACAATTTTCTTACTCCCTGAACTGAATTTATGGGTTTTTACACTGCGCAATATATTGATAATAAATAATGTCTGGAAACGTGTTTCGTCTCTCTAATGAATATCTAATTGGGTAAACGAAATTTGGTATAATATGTTGTGGTAAGTGTTTTGATTATCATTTTTTTTGATATCATAAATATTTTATTGTTGTCATCAGTTTGATCAACACATGTGAGTTTAGTATACCTTTATAAGTAGGGTAGGGTGGGCACAAAGTTCCAATTTGTCTTTCAGTAATTATACTATATAAACCAAAACAGTTTTTTAGGATAAGATAGACACGAATCAAACAAAAAACTGTCGAACTATATGCCGAAAAAATACCAGTTAATTTCTAATTAAAGAAATACATTTTTTACTATTTTTCCAGAATTAATTATCTATCCCTTTTTAGCAGATAGAAAGGGTAAACATCAGGCCTTATTTTTAATATTCAAGGGATCTCCCGAAATAATAGCTACAATATTCAAGCAACGCAGAATACAAATTTCAATGGGACATTTTTTAAAAAGATAACACTGTATATAACCTTGATCTAGCATTTTGTCAAAAATATCTCTCAGAAGGGTTGAATAAATATTAATTTAATTTTTCTCTTGTAAAATAATAGTTAACTTAGTATACTTTTTATTTACTACTATTACTATTTACTATTTATACTTTACTATTTTGTTGTTTGCACCTTTGCCAGTTTAACGGTTCAGTTGGTCCTTTTTACTCCAACCACATGTAAACTTGTATAGAGCTTATTTAAAATAATTATGTTAAACATAACATAAAACTGATAAAATAAATAACTAATAAAAAAATATGTTCTAGTATCGAAAACAAAATGAAAGAATTTAACTAGTGGTGTACATGGCATCGTCCGTACCGTAATTAAAAATCTTGGTACAGAATCCAAAAAAATTTACACAAAATGTGTACATATTATCAAAATCTCTATAAAACATCTGATAATTTGATGTACATTTGAAAGGATATTTTGTTAACTTATTTCTATTGAGAGTCCGTAACCCTTCGACTTACCTTTCCAAAAATTCAATCAGTTGTTCATCTTGCCAATACAAAAAAAATGTTTTTTGAATGCTCCGTTCTCTTTAAAACTGAGTTACCGTTTTTGGCACCTTTGCCCCATATCTTCGGAACGGCTAGACCAGCCTTCGCCAAAAACTAATCAGCACGTCTCCTCATCAATACAAAACGGATGTTTTTTGAATTATTGAAATCGGTTAATCGGTGTTCCCAAAATCGTCGACGAAAATTTGTATCCGCACATACACACATACATACATACACACACATACATCCACTTTTTCTAAGGTATGCCAAAATGTTCAAAAACCTTTGAAAAGTAAAGATATATAAAAGTTTTCATTTTCATTTACATATTGATAAATGGCCGTTTAACCTTAAAGTGACGTCATAAGAATTAATGATTTCGCTGCCTTCTACTTCAAAATAGGATCTATAAAAAAATCAATACTTTTTACATGTTTTTGAGATATTGGTAGTGATCTTTTTTACTCGCGCTCTACCCTAAGTGATCGTTACCTATACCGTGATGTAGAAGCTTCACCTACTTTATTCAGCTTTTGCTTATCAAATTCTAATGTCTGTTTTTATTTACAGTTCCTCCAAAGACTCTTCAATTCAGCCAGGAGAAAAATGAGGATGGCTCCATCGAAGTATCTTGCACAGCGAATGATGTTTTTCCAACTCCTGTCATGAACATTCGCGTCGAAAACAAGTTAGTCAATTTTTATTTGTCACATCATTTTTATTTTGCATTTAAACTACCTTATTTTTGTTTAAATATTCCAATATTCCCAATAGTGCAATATTTTTCTATATCAACTTGAGCATTTGGGTGCGTTTTATTATTTCTTATATATGGACAGCTAATTGTAGGAGCAATTCAGTTCATTTTAGAGTATTTGAGTTAGGAAATTCTCTAAATATATAAAATAACTTCAAATTAGCAAGGTTTTTAAACTATTGAAGTTTTTATTGATTGTTGTTAATACAGTCGTAGATCATATCCTTCAAATTCATTGTAAATTTATTTTAATTTTTGGTCAATTACCAATTAACTTTGTATAATAAAATATTAGAATTTATGCCAGGAAATATTAGTGACATAAAATAATATTGTTAGTATTGAACAATTAATTATCTTAAGAATGAATGTTCTCTATAGATTTTATTTCTATATTCTATTTGTAAACGTTCAAGCTCAACAAGTGGAAAACTATTTAAATCACCATCTATTTAACAACGTACAAAACATAATAGCTTGTGCTCGTATTTCTCATTATTATTTCATAGAACTAATCCAAATATTAATGTCTGACAAGTTCTCATCGATAACTTTACAATTTCTCGAGGTAGCTCCGATATAAAGCGAACAGGTTGATATTAACTTGAAAATCAAGCTTTGAGTTAAACTACGAACTAAACTCGATGTTAAGATATGAGTTTCCCAATAGAGTAATTAATTATAAACCACTTGACCGGGTGAATTCGCTGTCAGGAGGAAAACTTGGGGAAGATGGATTTATATATATATATATATATATATATATATATATATATATATACTAGATGACCCGACAGACGTTGTCCTGTAGCTATGCTTACAATTTTTTAATATAATATACTAATGTTTACCGTTTACCTAAACTTAATAATTATTGTTTTTTAAATTACTCTTTACGCCAAAATGCATATACATTTATAATATGAGCGATATTAAATGTAAAACTGCTTTAAATAAAATGAGGCTCAATTCCCACACTATATTGGAAATTGAAGTCTTTTAAACGGTATATCATAACCATAACCATAACATAATACTGGTACTTCATGTTGGATTAAATTAATTCAATATTTTATTATTTAAGATATCCAAAACTGCATCTTAAACTTCTCCTAATCGAAATTGTGAGGGCCGAATTGTATGTATCCATCTTTACTTTCCCATTTGTTGTTATAAAGTGAAATTTTTACGAATTTTAAAAATATTGTGAAAAGATTAGTAAAAGATGCATAGAAATTTTTAACAATTTTTTCTGTTTATTTCTACAGTACTGCATATACATTCCAGTACTTTATAATCACATACATCCTAGAAAATTTCCTTAACAAACTTCAGAAAGATTTATCAAAATCTGCATAATCGTTTAGAAGGAGTATACAGTGCGTGCTTGTAATTTAATATAAACTTTTTATAATAACAATACAGCTCAAATTGATTTTACGTTTGTATGAGAAAAACAAAAGGCTGTTTTTTATTGCCGCCGGCAATTATTGATATCAAAAAAACAACTGTCTGACTATGTTCAGTAAAACTCCCAGCTAATTCATCATTGTAGAAATGTTTTTTTACTGTTTTTTCAAAAATTTGTCACCTGTTCTTTTTACAAACTGGTCCAATGTGTAACTTTTAATTTTAAAAGGATTTTACGAAATATAAGGCACATTACTGAAGCAAAGAAAAATATATATCTCGTTTTTTTTTTTTAATTTCAACATCTGTTACAACTGCTGAATAATACTAGTAACACTGAGTATATAAATATAGTGCAAATTGATGGATAGTATTTCTATTAAAATGAATCCGTGTTATTTATTTATTCATCATATAGCCCACAGAGTAACTCCAGGGATAATTAAAAATACAATTTTAATTATGCATATTATAATAATACAAATGTACTAATATATGATATAACAATACATAACATAATATAATTTATAACATAACAATACATACAACACATATGATAATTTGGTATAATATAAAAAGCAAATAAACTAATAAAATAATAATAAAAATAAGAAATAGAATAAATGAAATTTGTGAATAATAGAAATAATTTTAGATAAACAATAAAGTACAATAAAATCAATAAATGATAAATAATAATACATATAACAAATTAACAATATCAGAAATAATAGAATAACAAAATATTAAAGATAAATTTTATTTAAAGCTATAACACTGTATATATCCTCTCTCTGGTATTTTGTCATAAATGTTGATCAGTAGACTTGGAATGACTATTTATTTAATTTATCTCTTGTAAAATTGTTTTTTTAAATTCTATTTAAGTTTATATTTACTATTTTTTATTGATTAATAGTTTATTGGTAAAGCTTTGTGTGGTTTCTTTACCCCGCCTACTGTAAGATTTTAAAGATGTTATGTAAAAGAGACTGTTGAATCTAACTTAAGATTAACAATACATCATATAAAATAATTAATCAACGTATAATTAAAAATTATATTAATGTCTCGTGAACTAAAGAACAGTGCTCGCAACCAAAAAAACTAACAAGAAAAGAAAACGCTTTTGCTATGGATTTTATAAATACTATGTATTTATACTACGATCGCAAATTCATAGAATAGTTCAGAAATCAGATGCAAAAATATAATAAAGTTTTAATGTTAACAATAAAGAGTATTTTTATAGAATTCTACATACACTATTTTCTTTAAGCAATTGCAAAAGCCTCAGCAAAACCTCTTTCAAAAGAATTTTTTAAAAACAAAAATCGTTAAATTAAATTAAAAAATGATTGCAAATAATATGATGATATGTATTTAAAAACGTAGTTTCGTGATATTAAAAATCTTCGTTGACTGGTCTAATTTTCTGTTCTTAATTCGTTTTACCATTTTGTCTGGAAGCTGCGCAGAATTTTCTCATTGAAATTCTAAAATGATTAAAGTCTTTACTGTTCAAATACACCGTGACAATATTCCGCAATTCACTATCTTATGGTTTTATGAAATGCAATTCTGGAAAGAAGTAGTCAGATATAGAATGAATAAGGTATGAAATATCAAGAGAATTTTTGAAATTGGCTATGAATTTAAAGGCAACAATTACGTTTAGTCTACTATAAAATATTTGAAACTTGATGAGTGGCTATAAATAATTTAATACTGATGATGACAATAAAATTTATGTTTTGGTTTATGTATTTATGTTATTATACATAAAGCTCTCACGATGTTGGTTTTATGTTGGTCTATATGACAAAATATCAGTATAACAAATAATCTACAAGATCATATTGAGTTTTCAAATTATTTTCTTTGCAATATTTTGGCGAAAAAATACATACTGTCTTCTAAAAATACACCTCATTCGCGTTTAAAATTTAATGGGTCGGATGTCCTTTTGTTTGAATTATGAAATTAAAGCATTTTGTTTTTAGCAAAGGATTTTTTCCATAGATTTTATTACATTTAATTGCACTAAATGTAATTAAGCTTAATTTAAAAAATAATTAGAAATTGTCAGTCAAATGCGATATAATGTAGGGGAGATTGGGTACGGTTGTGCCAGGGTACCGTAGAGTCAGTTGTTATAACAGCTAAACTATATAGATTTTGTGAAAAGATCCAAGGGGCAAAAGCTGTAGTATGTTTGTTTAAACAAGTTTTCATCATTAGTGTTATAATATATATTTTTAAAATTATAAGTTTCTAGTAGAGTTAGCGCTCTACTCTACATTAACATGATTTGTAGAACGCATTACTTTAAAGAGTGAAAGTGAGTTTTTTCGTACGATTTCTTTTAATAATAACTGCTATTTATATACGGGTTTATAGCTTTGTTTGTTATTTTGCTATAAATTGAGTATTAGTAGTTAATTACCAGCGGTTAGTCTTTGCATGAATAATTTATCTCGATCATAGCGATGATTTGTCTTCTAAATTGTGCTTTGGGTACGGTTATAATAAATTTTGTGGGTACGGTTTTGACATGTTTCCTTGTGTCTATTTCGGTTAAAATGCTAAAAATGTAAAGAAAAAATCTAACTGAACTAACAATAAGGCAAAAAGAAAGGAAAATGTAACACCAGTAAAGAAAGTTTCTGTCTGGATTGTGAAAGCTCATACTCTGAAAGTAGGGGTGGCGTAAAGTGGTAAAAGTGTCAATGGACCTGCAGTTTTTAGTAAAATTCCCAGGTGATAGTCACCATTATCATTTTTTTACCATTGTAATATTGATTCTGACTAGATCTCAGTATAATGATACATAGTTCCTGAAATATTATGACTTATTAGTAAACTGATAATTTTTAGTGACTTATGATGATAATGACTGGTTTTAAAAAAGACATTCATAATAATCCAAGTCGTGATGGTGACTTATCAAACAAAAGGAGGAAAATCGTTGCATGCTTCTGTTTATTTCTTATTAACTTTATTTAAAAAAATATTGTTTGTCATTTATTGTTATATTATATTCATAAGGTTTGGTATAGTTTGAATAATAATATTGTGTTGTGTTACATATTACTATCAAAAAAGGTCCTAATAAACTTTTTTGGTGTTTATAGCTACTGATATTTAACCTATGATTATGCCTCTCGGCTAATTTGATAACCTTAAGGGAGTATTCTAGTGTAGAAGTTTAGAAAAATTGTTGTCACGTTCTCAAAGTTTAACTATTTATAAATATGTATACGTGTGATTTTAACAAATTAAATTATTTTTGGAGATACAGCTGTGTTTGATCAAGATAATCCTCTTTGGTTCCTTTCTTTTGCAAAACTTTAAAATCGTTTTTCTCAAATCCGTCTTCTTCAATACTATGCTCACGATTTCTTGAGTTCTATCTGATCGATATACATGAAAGTTTTAGAGAATCATTTTCATAGACTCTTCTTTGGTATATATTAGACTCATACCCAAATTTCAATGTTTGCTATTTTTAAAAATTCTAG